CAACTATAAGATATTAAATAAAACTATAAAATATCGAATATAATTAATACAACTATAAGATATTAAATAAAACTATAAAATATCGAATATAATTAATAGAACTATGAGATATTAAATAAAACTATAAAATATCAAATATAATTAATAGAACTATAAGATATTAAATAAAACTATAAAATATCGAATATAATTAATAGAACTATAAGATATTAAATAAAACTATAAAATATCGAATATAATTAATAGAACTATAAGATATTGAATAGAACTAAATAGAACCCTACCTTAAAAGTTCTTAGATAGTTCTTACTCCCAACATTCTCTCTTTCTCCTGAAGATTTATTCAAGTATAACACGGGAACCCCGAGACAAGCCCAGCTACTTGAAGTTAGTCTTTCCATCCCGGTTATACTGAATAAAATTACTTGAAAACTTGCTATGTGTGTGTGCTATTAGCACAGGCAATATCCGTTATGACAATAAGTTGACAACCTGGGCCTATAACGGTAATGCGATATGTGTGTGTGTGTGTATGTAACTAGCATAAATCAAACACATTGCAAAGAGACTCAAATATCAAAATTCAATTTTTCATTACCAGTTATTGTTGTTAACATTAAAACTGATTTAATTTTTTTAATTGCTGTGTATTTGTCGATAGGTGGCGATTATGCATACAATTCAAGCGTTTGATCTAGTAGAACTCGTTCGAATATTATGCATATAGAACCGAGTTTGTCGTTCCATATAAAATATTTGGCAATATGAAATATTTATTTTAAAAACAACCCATTACAGTGTATTATTTAGCTAACAAAAAAAAGAAATCTTACTAAATAATTTTATCATCACTTTCAAGTGTTTTTGATGACTCACATTGTAAACTTTTCTTTCAGGTTCTGCTGGTTATGGGCTGCGAAGTAGACAATGTGACGTCAGAAGGATTTACGCCTCTTCATCTTGCTGTTCTAAAGTACGTAGAATGCGTGCAATTTTGGATAGCCGTGGTACATATAGAAAAGTGGGATGGGAGAGGGCCAGAACTAAGGAACATTCTGAGAAAACAATGATAATATTGCCATTACAATGAACACATTTAACTTACAACCCTAAATTATTCTCGTGACGGTGGATGGCAAAAAAAAAAAAAGAGAGATAGACCCTGTAGCCTAGTAGCTCCAGTTATGTCAATATATATCAAATGAAACACGACGGGATTTTGTATCTTATTTTTTTGTAACTTATTGTTGTAACCTATATTTTTAATCAGGTGTTCCTAGAAATGAGTATTGTTGTTAAGCCGAAAGGAAGTTTAACCAGTGCCGGATTAACCATGAGGCAAACGAGGCAGCTGCCTCAGGGCTCCCACAAAATAGGGCCTCCACAAATATTTTGCTAATATTATTTAGGAATATTGCGTTATTCGATTTATATATTTGTTTCCTATATTTGAAAGTTTGCTTCTTATACAATAAAGTTTTTTATTTCTTATATTCGAAAGGACCTCCATAAGGATTGTTGCGTCATCGAGGTCACGTGACTAGTGTCACGCCACGTTTTCTAGAAATATCCTGTTCCTTCGTGAAT